GTGTGTGTGTGTGTGTGTGTGTGTGTGTGTGTGTGTGTGTGTGTGTGCATGTTTTTTTTCACCAGCAGAGCAGCTGTTCTCTATCTGCGACTGCAGAACTTAGTGTTCCTCCATCTTGGCTGACTCTTGCCTGTCCTCTGGCCTCTGTGCAGGCTAGGAGCTCATAACCTCTTACTCATTTCAAGGCTGTGTAGCAGAAAAAAATGACTTTTTACTTCTCATCTGTTGATGAGGTAGCGCGATGGAAAGTAATACGCAAGGCTGCAACTGTTATTGTGACCTTTTTAGTGAGCTATTTGCTGGATAGAAGCCTTGAATCACACTGTGTTCTTGGTCATTAATACCACGCTGTCATGTCCATAGCCCTGACTCTGTGCTGCCCCACAGCAGTCTGCCAACACTGAGCTGCTGCCAGACAGTCCACATTTGGCCTTTTAACACAAAATTGGGATTGACGTGCTTCTTTTCCTTTCCCTCTTTTCTTTTCTGTCTTCTCCCTTTTTGTGGTTCCCTTTCTTGTCCCCCATTTCTCTGTTTTTTTTTATCTCCTGCTCTTCTCTCTATTCTTTCATTCTTTTTCAGATGTTGGCTCGGTGGAGGGCTTGGCGTACCACAGGGGCTGGGATATGCTCTACTGGACCAGCTACACTACCTCAACCATCACCCGCCACACCGTGGATCAGAGCCGCTGGGGTGCCGTTGACAGGCACATCGTGGTCAGCATGTCGGGAGATGACCACCCCAGAGCCTTTGTCCTTGATGAGTGTCAGAGGTTAAAACGAATAAATGAATTCCAACCACACCTCCTTGCATTCAAAACTATTCCTAAATTAGGTCCAAAAAATTCACATGCACATTGCTGTTTTTTTTTTTCTCTCTGCAGCCTCATGTTTTGGACCAACTGGAATGAGCAGTCTCCCAGTATTATGCGTGCCACACTGGCTGGTTCCAACGTCCTTGTGATCATCGGCAATGATATCCGAACCCCTAACGGCCTGGCCATAGACCACCGCGCTGAGAAACTTTACTTCTCTGACGCCACACTAGACAAGATAGAGCGCTGCGAGTATGACGGCACTCGCCGCTATGTGAGTAAAACATGCACGCTCACACGCAGACAATCGCGGTGTACATTGTGCTGCGTAATGGAAACATTTATACTACAGTATGATTGTATTATAGGGTTGCCTAATAACAGTTTGTTTATCTGTTGCAAGGCTGAAATTTCCTGAATGCATGAGGTCGTGACTGTGGTTGTGCTTCCCCCTGCAGGTGGTGTTGAAGAATGAGCCGGTCCATCCGTTTGGCCTGTCCGTGTACGGTGACTACATCTTCTGGACTGACTGGGTGAGGAGGGCCGTGCTTCGGGCTGACAAATACACAGGAGGAGACATGAAGGTGCTACGTGCTGACATACCTCAGCAGCCAATGGGTATCGTCGCTGTGGCTAACGACACCAATAGCTGTGAGTTTTTAGTGAGGGATCCAGCTTTGTGTGTGTGTGTGTGTGTGTGTGTGTGTGTGTGTGTCTCTGAACTGTGTGTGTGTCTCTGAACTGTGTGAAGACATTGTAACAGTGTTTTTGAAGTCCATAATGCCTAGTACTGGGCAATATGGATAAAGTATCACCCAGTGATATTTTCACAAAATCCACTTTCATTCATAGAAAACCTTTGTATGAATGACTATTATGATTTTGTACATTTTGTGTAAAAATCAATTGATAAACTTTAAATACAGAATAAAACATCTGAACAACAATGCCTTTTTTTGGCTAATCCATCAAATTAAATACCTGGCAAGTCAAGATACTTCATCACAATGAAACATTGTAAAAGGAGGTTTGAGTGCATTGCTAAAACATTCATGAGCAGTTAATGAGGTGACAGAAGTAATCTAGGAGTGACAATGGAGAAGATGAGTTTATACATCATTTTATAGGATGGGCCCACCTGACATTCACAACCCCAACATCAGCTCCATATCACCACAGACACAAACACACAAGTGCCTGCTGAATTGCTGTTTTTCACTGTAATACTTCTCCATCTCCTTCTCAAACTCATCTTGTTCTGCATCTCCCATTGTCTGTATCCTTTTAAATCAATGCAGCCTAGCAGATTTTTTTCTCTCTACCATATCGTCAGCCATCCTCTCCCTCAAGTTGCCTCATTCAGTAAACTCTCTCGCTCTCCAATACCCACAGCAACCATACAAGCAGAGAGCCTGTGGTAATAGCTGCAAATCCCATTTCGATTGAGTCACATTGAAATATGCGTTCAGTGGAGGCAGAGCCATCGCCACATTCATGCACGCATATCTGTCTGTTGATGTGGATGCACATGGGGGAGGGTGTGTGTTTGCTTGTGTGTGAGGAGGGTGGATGTGGAAATCCTTAGCTGACTCACTCGTGTGTGTGTGTGTGTGTGTGTGTGTGTGTGTGTGTGTGTGTGTGTG